GTGGTGTGAGGGGGTGTGGTGTGTTATGTTGGTTGGGTGTGAGTGTGGCGTGTGATTGTGTTTGTGTGTTGTGCAGGTTGTGTGTGTGGTGTATATATGGTGTGTGGTGAGTGTATGGTGTGTGATTGTGTGTGGTTCTGGGTTGTGGGTGGTGTGTATAAGGTGTATGATTGTGTGTGGGGGGGTGTTGGGTGTGGGTTGTGCGGGTTGTGTGTGTGGTGTGTGATTGTGTGTGGTGTGTTATGTGGGTTGGGTGTTGGTTGGGTGTGTGATTATGTGTTGTGCAGGTTGTGTGTGTGGTGTGTGATTGTGTGTGGTTCTGGGTTGTGTGTGGTGTGTATATGGTGTATGATTGTGTGTGGGGGGGTGTTGGGTGTGGGTTGTGCGGGTTGTGTGTGTGGTGTGTGATTGTGTGTTGTGCAGGTTGTGTGTGTGGTGTGTGATTGTGTGTGGTTGTGGGTTGTGTGTGGTGTGTATATGGTATGTGATTGTGTGTGGGGGGGTGTTGGGTGTGGGTTGTGTCTGTGGTGTGTACGTGGTGTGTGATTGTGTGGGGGTGGGTGTTGGGTGTGTGTTGTGCGGGTTGTGTGTATGGTGTGTGATTGTTTGTGTGTTGTGCAGGTTGTGTGTGTGGCTGTGTGTGTGGTGTGTGCATGGTGCGTGATTGTGGGTGGTGTGTTATGCAGGTTGGGTGTTGGTTGGGTGTGAGTGTGGGGGGTGATTGTGTGTTGTGCAGGTTGTGTGTGTGGCTGTGTGTGTGGTGTGTGCATGGTGCGTGATTGTGGGTGGTGTGTTATGCAGGTTGGGTGTTGGTTGGGTGTGAGTGTGGGGGGTGATTGTGTGTTGTGCAGGTTGTGTGTGTGGCTGTGTGTGTGGTGTGTGCATGGTGCGTGATTGTGGGTGGTGTGTTATGCAGGTTGGGTGTTGGTTGGGTGTGAGTGTGGGGGGTGATTGTGTGTTGTGCAGGTTGTGTGTGTGGCTGTGTGTGTGGTGTGTGCATGGTGCGTGATTGTGGGTGGTGTGTTATGCAGGTTGGGTGTTGGTTGGGTGTGAGTGTGGGGGGTGATTGTGTGTTGTGCAGGTTGTGTGTGTGGTTGTGTGTGTGGTGTGTGCATGGTGCGTGATTGTGGGTGGTGTGTTATGCAGGTTGGGTGTTGGTTGGGTGTGAGTGTGGTGTGTGATTGTGTGTTGTGCAGGTTGTGTGTCTGGTTGTGTGGGGGGTTGTGTGGGTTGTGTGTGTGGTGTGTATATGGTGTGTGATTGTGTGTGGTTGTGAGTTGTGTGTGTGTTGTGCGGGTTGTGTGTATGGTGTGTGATTGTGTGTAGTGTGTTATGGAGGTTGGGTGTGGGTGTGGTGTGTGATTGTGGTTGGGGGTGGTTGTGTGTTGTGTGGGGATTGCATAGGTGTGGTGTGTGATTGTGGTTGTGTGTTGTGCGGGTTGTGTGCGTGGTGTGTGTATGGTGTGTGATTGTGTGTGGTGTGTTACACAGGTTGAGTGTGAGTGGTGTGATTGTTGGTTGTGTGGGTTGTGTGTATGTTGTTCAGGTGGTGTGTGGGTGTTGTGTGATTGGGTGTGGTGGTGTGTGGTGGTGTGTTTTGTGATTGTGTGTTCTGTGGGTTGTGTGTGGGTGTGGTGTAATTGGGTGTGTTTGCAGGTGTGTTGTGTATATTGTGTGATTGTGGTTGTGTGGGGTGTGATTGTGTGTGGTTGCATGTTGTGTGGCGCATGTGTGGGTGTGGTATGTGATTGTGGTTGTGTGTTGTGAGTGTGGTGTGTGGCATGTGTGGGTGTGGTGGGTGTGGTTGTGTGTTGTGTGGGTTGTGGGGGGGGTGTGATTGTGGGTGTGTTGTGTGTTGATGTGTGGGGGTGTGTTGTGTGTGTGCAGGCTGTACATGTGTGCAGCTGTAGGGCTGCAGGCTGGATGTTTGCAGCCACGTTGGCATGGTGTGCATTTGCATGTTGTGTGTTTTCATATGCGTGTTGTATGTATGTGCATGTGCAGGCTGGATGCTTGCGTGTGCATTTACATGTGCATTTGTGTGTTGTGGGTTTGCGCGTTTTGCATGTGCAGGCTGTGTGTGTGTTGTGCATTTGAAGGTGTGTTTACACACTGTACACTTGCAGACACGTTTGTGTATCATGTGTGTGCCTTTGCATGTTGTGTGTGTGCATATTGTGTGTTCGCAGGCTGTGCACCCGCAGGCTGCCTTGGCACGTTGTGAGTGTGCAGGCTGGGTGTTTCCACATGCATGTGCATGTGCACGTCTTCTACGTGCACGTTGCGTGTGTATATGTTGTGCATGTGCAGGCTGTGTGATTGCATGTTGTGGGTCTGCTTGTGCCACTGCATGTTGTGTGTTTGCGTGTTTGGTGTTTACAGGCTGTGTGTTTGCAGGTTACCTTTGCGTGTTGTTCGTGTACAGGCTGTGTGTGTGCAGGTTGTGTGTTCTCAGGCTTTGTGTGTACATGTGTGTTTGCAGACTGCATATTTGCATGTTGTGCATGCGCAATGCAGGCTGTGTGTGTGCGTGTTTGCAGGCTGCCTTTGCGTCTTGTGTGTGTCCAGGTTGTGCGTTTGCATGTTGGATATTCTCAGGCTGTGCGTTTGCATGTTGGGCCTTTGCATGTTGGGCCTTTGCATGTTGTACATTTGCAGGCTGTATGTTTGCGTGTTGTGGGTCTGCGTGTCCTGCGTTTGTGTGTTGTGGGTTTGCAGGCTGTGTGTTTGCATGTTGTGTACGTGCAGGCTATGTTTGCGTGTTGTGGGTGTGCATATCGTGCATTTGTGTGTTGTGTGTTTGCAGGCTCTATGTTTGCATGTTGTGCATGTGCAGACTAAGTTTGCGTGTCGTGTATTTGCGTGTTGTGTGTTTGCAGGCTGTATGTTTGCGTGTTGTGGGTGTGCGTGTTGTGCATTTGTGTGTTGTGGGTGTATGTTTGCATGTTGTGCATGTGCAGACATTATGCATGTTGGGGTGTGTGTTGTGTGTTTGCGTGTTGTGCATGTGCAGACTAAGTTTGCGTGTCGTGTATTTGCGTGTTGTGTGTTTGCAGGCTGTATGTTTGCGTGTTGTGTATGTGCAGACTGTTCGCATGTTGTGGATGTGCATGTTGTGGATTTGCAGGCTCTGTTTGCGTGTTGTGCATGTGCAGACTGTTGTGGGTGTGCATGTTGTGCATTTGCGTGTTGTGGGTTTGCAGGCTATGTTTGCGTGTTGTGGGTGTGCGTGTCATGTGTTTGCAGGCTGTATGTTTGCGTGTTGTGCATGTGCAGACTGTAAGTTTGCGTGTTGTGTGTGTGTTGTGCATTTGCGTGTTGTGGGTTTGCGGGCTGTATGTTTGTGTGTTGTGCATGTGCAGGCTATGTTTGCGTGTTGTGGGTGTGCATGTCGTGTGTTTGCAGGCTGTATGTTTATGTGTTGTGCATGTGCAGACTGTTTGCGTGTTGTGGGTGTGCATGTTGTGGATTTGCAGGCTCCGTGTTTGCGTGTTGTGCACGTGCAGACTGTAAGTTTGCGTGTTGTGGGTGTGCGTGTCGTGCATTTGCGTGTTGTGGGTGTATGTTTGCATGTTGTGCATGTGCAGGCTACGTTTGCGTGTTGTGGGTGTGCGTGTTGTGTGTTTGCAGGCTGTATGTTTGTGTGTTGTGCATGTGCAGACATTATGCATGTTGTCGGCAGGTGTGTTGTGGGTGTGCATTTCGTGTTTGCGGGCTGTACGTTTGTGTGTTGTGCATGTGCAGACATTATGCATGTTATCGGCATGTGTGTTGTGTGTTGTGGGTGTGCATGTCGTGTTTGCGGGCTGTACGTTTGTGTGTTGTGCATGTGCAGACTATGCGTGTTGTGTGTTTGCAGGCTCTATGTTTGTGTGTTGTGCATCTGCAGACTGTAAGTTTGCGTGTTTTGGGTGTGCGTGGCGTGCATTTGCATGTTATGGGTTTGCGGGCTGTATGTTTGCATGTTGTGCATGTGCAGACATGCATGTTATCAGTGTGTGTGTTGTGTGGTATGTTGTGCATGTGCAGACTGTAAGTTTGCGTGTTGTGCATTTGCGTGTCATGTGTTTGCAGGCTCTATGTTTGCGTGTTGTGCATCTGCAGACTGTAAGTTTGCGTGCTGTGGGTGTGCATGGCGTGCATTTGCATGTTGTGTGTTTGCAGGCTCTATGTGTGTTGTGCATGTGCAGACATGCATGTTGTCGGTGTGTGTGTTGTGTGGCATGTTGTACATGTGCAGTGTGTGTTGTGTGGCATGTTGTGCATGTGCAGACTGTAAGTTTGCGTGTTGTACATTTGTGTGTTGTGCATTTGCATGTTGTGGGTTTGCAGGCTGTACGTTTGCATGTTGTGCATGTGCAGACTGTAAGTTTGCGTGTTGTGGGTGTGCGTGTCGTGCATTTGCGTGTTGTGGGTTTGCAGGCTGTATGTTTGCATGTTGTGCATGTGCAGACATGCATGTTATCGGTGTGTGTGTGTTGTGTGTTTGCATGTTGTGCATGTGCAGACTGTAAGATTGCGTGTTGTGGGTGTGCGGGCTGTACGTTTGCAGGCTGCCTTTGCATGTTGTGCGTGTGCGGGCTGTTGTGTGTGCATGCTGTGCGTTTACACGTGCGTGTCGTGCATGTATGTTGTGTCTTCACGTTGTATGTTCCCGGCCCGTCCATTCACAGGCTGTACCCGCAGCCTGTGCGTCCCCAGCTCCTTGTGCCCCTCAACCCCGCACCCTCCGTGGACACCCGGGGCCGGGGCGAGCCACCCTCCGTGGACACCCGGGGCCGGGGCGAGCCGGGACCTGCGGCGGTGGCCCCGTCGGACCGCAGGTCCGACGGGGCCACCGCCGCAGATCCCGGCTCCCCCGGCCCCGGGACTACAAGTCCCAGGGTGCCCCGGCCCGAGGGGGCGGGCGGGCGGCGCATCCCGCCGGTGCCCCCGCACACACCGCCCCCCCGCCCTGCTGATGTGTACGCGGCGGCGGCTGGATGCGGGGGGAGCGGCTTCGGCGCGGCGTGGGGTGGTGGTGGGGGGGGTGAACCGGGACCGTCTGACGCTGTGTCCTACCCCCGCAGGGATCCGGCCCCAAGCTCCGGGAACCGGTTATGGCTTCTAAGCTGTTACGGGCGGTGGTGTTGGGCCCCCCCGGTTCGGGGAAGGGGACGGTGTGCGAGAGGATCGCCCGCAGCTTCGGGCTCCAGCATCTTTCCAGCGGGCAATTCCTACGGGAGAGCCTCGACGGAGGCGGGGGTGAGTGGCCACACGGGGAAATCCCGACGGGGGGGACGGGGGGGTCTCCATCCCCGGAGCATGTTGGACGGGGCACGGAGAAGGGATAAGGATAGGGGTGAGGGGGAGATGGGGATGAGGATGAGGATGGTGAGGGGATGGGAGGAGGATAGGGGGGAGGGGGGGGATGGGGATTAGGATGGAGAGGGGGT